AAAGAATCAAGGCCATTTTCTATCTCTTAGGTTGATGTTGGGGAATGGGATTTGTATTAATGTTCGGTCTGGGTCGAACAGGAAGGATTTAACCATTCTTGGGTAAGCTGGATAAGGGCGATGGGGTCGAACATGAAGGAAGATTGATGTTCGCTTTGGTCAGGGTAAAAGCATGCACTTTGGTTAGGCAATTGGATGTTTCTCAGGTCAGTGTTTAAGGGGCATTTTATGATACTTAGTTTAGGCTTGAGGTTTTGGGTGTACTCAGGTCGGGACTTGAGGTTTTTGGTAATTGGTATGTTCATATCAGGTTTGAGGCTTGGTTTCAGAGCGAATGGCTCCAGTTGAGGTGCTTGGGTCGGGTTTAAGCTTATGAAGGTGTTTAGAAGTGCTTAGGTCAGGTTTAAGGCTTTTAAGGTGCTTAAGTTAGGATTTAAGGCTTTAAGGGAGCTTAAGTCAGTGTTTAAGGCTTTAGGTATGATGGTGTTTGCTCAGGTCAGGGTTTGAGGCTTGGATCAAGGCTTTGTCCCCAATTTAGGTGCTTAAGGTGCCTATGTCAGGTTTAAGGTTATTGGTAATTTGGAGATCCTTAGGTCAGTGTTTAAGAAATGTGGAAGACAATGCTCAAAACGGTATTTAAGGCTAGATCGGGGCATTGCCCCCATTTTAGATGCTTAAGCTAGTGTTTAAGGCTTCTTGGTAGCTCAAGTCGGGGTTTCAGGCTTGGAAATTGGAAGGCAATGCCCAGATCAATAGTTAAGTCTTTAATCGGGGCATTGCCCCCGGTTTAGGTGCTGAAGTCGGGTTTAAGGCTTTTTAGTAGCTCAAGTCAAGTTGGGTGTTTGAAGCTTTAGGATGGATCGGGTTTAAGGCTTTTTAGTAGCTCAAGTTGGTGTTTGAAGCTTAGATGGTGTGAAAAGCAATGCTCAAATCAGTAGTTGAGGCTTTGATTGGGCATTGCCTCTAGTTTGGATGCTTAGGTCGGGTTTAAGGCTTTTTAGTAGCTCAAGTCAATTTTGAAGCTTAGATAGTATGGAAGGCACTGCTCAAATCAGTAGTTGAGGCTTTGATTGGCCATTGCCCCTAATCTGGATGCTTAATTTGGGTTTAAGGATTTTTGGTAGCTCAAGTCAGTTTTGAAGCTTAGATAGTATGGAAGGCAATGCTCAAAACAGTAGTTGAGGCTTTGATTGGGCATTGCCCCTAATTTGGATGCTTAATTTGGGTTTAAGGCTTTTTGGTAGCTCAAGTTAGTTTTGAAGCTTTGGGTGTGCTTAGGTCAAGCCTGAGGCTTTGGGTATGCTCAGGTCAGGCCTGAAGCTTTGGGTGTGCTTAGGTAAGGTATGAGACAATAACCAGACTTTGAAAGGGCATAACTTTTGACTCGGGTGTCTGATTGAGGTTAATTCTTTTTGTATCCACTCAACTTTTCGAGCTCTACGCATCGGCAAGGATCCAAAGGAGCCTTGCTGCTGTTTCAATCCCAAAATCATTTTATTTTGGCCAGAAATTGACATTTTTTTATTTTTCAAAGCTCGTCTCAGGGGCCTTAGGTATGCTCGGGTCGGTATTCGAGGCTTAATTCAGATGGAATGCCCCCAGTTGAGGTGCTTAGGTCTGGTTTAAGGCTTTGGAGTATTCAATAGTGCTCAGGTCAGTGTTTGAGGCATTTTGGTAATTCCAGTATGCTCAAGTCAGTGTTTGAGGCTTAGATCGGGGCATTGCCCCTAGTTTGGGTGGTTAGATTCGGCTTAAGGCTTTTAAGTATGGGGATACTCAAGTCAGTGTTTGAGGCTTTTAGTGAGTGTTTACTCGGGTAAATCTCTTTGGGTAAGGCTTTGTGTTTAATTTGACTACGGAATGACGTTTAGGCTTGACCATGGGTTTGGTTTTTAAGCTTGACCATGGATTTAGGTTGACCATTGGTTTGGTATTTGGGTTGAGCATTGGTTTGGTATTTGGGTTGACCACTGGTTGGTGCTTAGGTTTGACCATTGGTTGGTGCTTTGGTTTACCAGTGGATGGTCTTTTGGGGTTAACCACTGGTTGGTGTTTGGGGTTGACCACTTGTTAGCACTTAGGGTTACTTCTTGGTCCATAACATGATATGCTTGAATGCATGAATGTTATGCCAAAACAGTTTCATGATTATTGGGTGCATATAATCCTAGAGATCGGTTCTAGGGGTATTACATGCTTTTGGTGGATTGGTTTAAGGGTCTCATCCGCTAGAGTTGGAATATAACTTGTCCTTTGACCATGTCGTATCAAATGGAATGATTGGTACGCTAAACCCTTTACCCTACCATAAGGAATGGAGGTGCATAGGATTGGCTGAGCAACTTTCTCGACCTAGGGCAACTATAAGGAAGATGGCCCCTATTTCTAATTTTTCAATTATGACCCAGATAGGCCCATTGGTTGGTTCGTCACGGAAACTAGGAGGAACTCCTTACGGTTCCTTTTTTGTTTGTTGATTAGTCAAAATATAGCTCGGTTTAGTGCTTAAGTGTGTCGAATTGGCTCTTTGTAGCGCTTTGACAGGTGTGTGATGTGATAGAGTCGCCACCTTGATTTGTTTTTGTTTTCGAGGAAAAGATTAGGAAAAAACTCTGTGTTGGCCTCCATTCTCAATTTGCCTTTTGGATAAAATGCACTAGCCTAGAATCATTGTGTTCAGGGACTAGATTTTCAGCTTCTTTCGAATGAATCAATGGTTTGGGTCATAGTTGAAAAATTAGAAATAGTTTTGCATGAGTGTCAGTTTTATCGATGCATGAACATGTTTATAATACATGGCAACTATAATCAAGGCATTAAGAGCATGAATAATGGAAAAAGGGCGTAATTCAAAGGGCAGCTTGACTCTAGCCTTGTTTATCGAGGATTTTAGGTCGTGCGACACATTTTCCTAAATTCTGACTGGTCACTTTGGTTGGGGGCTCGCTACCTAGGCTGAAATCCGTAGGTATGCCTTCGTACCTCATTTGTATGAGGATCAGGTCGCACGAAGTTCTATCATCGATTAGGATGGTAGGATTTTGAGGGCGCCACTTGGAGAGTGGGCTTAAAGGGTTTGTCGGGTGGACCGGGCTTGGCTTAGAGACTGGTTTTATCGGTTTTGCCGGACGGACCGGGCTTAAAGCATGTAATGTGTTGGACGGACCAGGCTTGACAGTTTATAAGGTGCCAAACGGATTGAGCTTTAATTGACGATGTTTGAGTTGAGTGATTATACCCTAGGATGAGGGGTTTGAAGGTTAACAAGAGGTGTCTGAAAATGAGAGGGGAAGTGACAATTTATAGGGCTGGACTGCCCTCTAGGCAGTACCTGTGGTTAAGACAGGAAAAAAGAAAAATTAAATTTTATTATTTAATTGGATATAATTTCCAAAAATTATTTTTAAATAAATACATATAGATAATAAATTTATTTTGAATTTACAACTTAGAAAAATAGACAAACAAAATTAGATCCTAGCATTATTTACTTTGTAATTTTCATTTATTAACTTGGCTATAATCTTTTTATTTTATTTTTATATATCGACATCAATTTCATTAAATTATAATATTTTCAGTTAAAGAAATGTTATTTTTGAAATTCAAATCGGTAATTTTTTAAATATAATTTATTTCTTATTATATGTTGAGTTCCAAAGAGAGTTATATTCTGAATAATAATTTTTTTTTATTTTTATTTTCATTTTTTTTACTGAATTAATTTGCAACATTGTAATAAATAGCCTCTTGATTAAATATTTTTAATATTTTTTCTATTATATTCTAAATCTGTTTGACTTGAAAGAAAAATAGTGTTTATAAAACTAAAAAAAAAAAAATAGAACTATATATTTATGTTTTGAATCATTTTTTGAGATTTCAAGATGTGTGTACGTACATATGTTCAAGATTTTGGTAAGTAAGTAATATTGTAATTATAGTCAAAGTAATTACCGTTATCAATTCAGATCATCTGCTTATTTCTTTTTTTATCCAGTAGTAAAAAAATAATTTTTTTATTATTTTTTATTATAGTTGTATATAGATTTGGGATTAAGGGCAGGAGGTTGAAGTTGAGGAATGATTTGATTTTCTTTTTGGAAACCTATTAAGGTTTTAAGAATGTACATTTATAAATTAGAGACTGAATGATTAGGTTTAAGAATTGAGCTGAATTTTATTTTGAGACCATTTCATTATAAAAAATAGAATTAAGTACGTAAAAAAATAGTATTATAAGCAGTTTGTACGACAAAGTCCAATATACATTAAGCAATTGTATTTTTTTTAATCTGTACAAAAACTTATGCTTTAATATTATATAGATAAAAAATTTAAAAAAGTAAAAATATATGACGAACATAGTCAATGTACAAGACATGTCATATAAAAGTCTAGTAATAATAAAAGAACAATTTAATTCAACACCAAGAAAAGTCTTGTTCGGCAGCGGCGCTTGAAGTAGTGTTTAATATTTTGATAAGATTGAAACACTATCTTAATTAATTATAGTGTTCGGCAATATAATATCTACCATAGCGTTTAGAGTTTCAGATAGTGTTTTATGAAATGTTATTTTCATTAACTTTTAGTTTTTTATAATTTCTTTATAATACTTATACTAATCACTTTGTTCCTTGCTTTCATACATTGTTGTCATTTTATATTGACAGAGCTAACTAAATAGTTATTTGTATCAAACATTTTTATTTTAAAACTTTTATATAATTATTAACCATTAAGAATTAATATTTGACGGCTAACTACTTGTAGAACAACTATTAAAACAGTTAAATTTGCAGAACAGATCAAAAAATATAGAGATTATGAAAACAGAAGTCAGGATTTATGAAATTCCCAAAAACTAGAGGGGCTAAACCGTCATTTTATTAAACTCATTCATTCATTCGTTCAAACCAAAATTTAACTTTTTAAAATTATAAATGGATATAGCTAATTTTCTTAGGAATTCTAAGGATATGGCTAGACAAGGGGCCCACTTAAGCAACCATGACCGAACGAGGGGGCGACAAGGTGGGTTCCGCAGAACAACTTGTTTATAACAGAAAAGAGGGAAGTTTGTGCTTCCTTGTAAGCAAGCTGCAATCCAGTGCACGGATAAACATCGTTGACGTCGAAGCAAAGTTTCAGTTGCTGGTATAAATAAATTATCAGTACTTGTTTACTCGTTCATGCTTAACATCAGTAATGATTTAACGGCTTCTTCTTCTTCTTCTTCTTTTCTGATCTGATCATCTGCTCAATTAGGCTCTGCGGCAAGTGACAGTATGATTTCTCGCATACTTGTTTTACTCTACTTGTTCGTCGTGCATTGTTTTACCTGTGGATGTTCTGCTGTTGGACTTGCGGCTAACCCCTCGGCAACATTGCTTGTTAATGCTTCTGCGGGCCGGCTTATGCCTAACACGCTTTTTGGAATATTCTTTGAGGTTAGTTTATTTGATTATTTTCAATTTCGATCCATGTACAAGCATATTCACAACTTACTGGGAAAAATTTATTCACTTGTTCTATATCTCGACATACAGAGGAGTTCCAAGATCTTTAATGCATTTCCTTTCAAAAAGAAATCTTTAATTCATTTATGTATTGCCATTTGATTGCCTGTATCAATGAATTTATATTTTAGATCAATATTTGTAAAGCTTTTTGAGTTTTTATTGTAAATAACAATTATGTTGGCTAGGCGACAGTGAACATAACCTGAATTAAGTTTCTGCAGGAAATAAACCATGCTGGAGCTGGTGGGCTATGGGGAGAGCTTGTGAATAACCGGGGTAAATTCCATATCTATTAAGAGAGTAGTGAAAAGGAAAGACATTTTCTATTTTGAATTGTACCAAATGGTATTATGTTCTGTAATTGCTTGATGGTTCTATATGCATAAGAAAAGTACTGAGATTGTCGGTTGCTAGATTGCAATGGCCAACTTTAAAGTTTTAGAAATTTAGCTGTATTAAGAAAATTTTAGCCTCTAGAAAATTCTGGTGCTCTGTCAGCATGAAAGGTCAGTGACCGCTGGATTCCTTTTTGGTCTACAGGTGATATCTTCAATTGATGATGTTGCCTTGAACTAGGTATAGGTGTTCCAATACTGGGTTAACAAAATGATAAATACATACACGTATACTGGTTTCTTTTAGTATAAATCAAATGACTTATTATTAGATGATTTCTATATACAGTCCTACAACTACCTTTTTTATGTTAATTTTTCCCTTTTCTACATTTTTGTTTTTAAAGTTGGAGCAATTAGATTGTGATAAAGGCCTCTTCTGATATAAATAAATCTAAAATGTAAAAGTTTATTTGATAGAATTCATTTAGAAATGAATTTCCATGTTCGACAAGAGTTGAATTCCACAACAAGTATACAATGACTTTGCAAAACACCCTTGAAGGAAGATAGAGAGATAAAAAGAGAGAAAGATCAAGAGAGAGAAAAAAATAGATAGATAGATAGATAGATAGATAGATATGAGATGGAGGGTAGGCATTTGGTCCAAAGTTTTTGTTGTATACGTTTTGTGGAATTCATTTAAAATTTCACTAAGTTTTGTGAAATTTGGTTTAATTTTGCTCAATTTTACATATTTGAATTTGTGGAAACCAAGCGGAAAATTTTACATGCCAAACATGGTTTACTGACTTTTCATAAATTTGATATATTAAGCACACTTGAAGATGCAATTCAATTTAGCATCAATCCAGAGAAAAAATTGCTTGAAGCTTTCACTTAAGCATTTAAATTACTGTTATAATTATACTTGTGAAACTGTTAGTCATATCCCATCTTCTGTTCCTCTTAACACTACCATAAATACTGTTTTTCTCATCATCAAGATCCTCATCGCAAGTATTATCATCAGTTTCATAATCATATGCATTGTTCCTGCTACCAACACTGCCATAGCAGCTTAACTTCTAGCATCACCTTTTCTACCAACAATCATCACAATTCTCTGTTGCTATTACCATCACATGGATCATCACCTGTACTATTACTACTATCACAATACCACCAATTATATCTGATGTAGCAAAAGTAACCCTAACCTAATTACGCTGTACATTTTGACAAGGAATAGTAAAAAGAGAGAACAATTAGATCACAACTCAACTAAAAAGGGGCTGAAATCTTCTGGTGACAAAACTAGGGGAATACACTACCAATAAATTGATCCTAAAGTTCCATTCTTCTTGTTCTTCTATTTACGAGTAGTAAGAACCTCTTGAATAACGAAAATTTTTCATAGGCCAGGTAGTAGGCCAATTTCTTCTTCTTCCTCATGATAATACTACTCATAGATTTTCTTCCTCTATGGATTAACTTGGTCACTAAGGCTTGAATAAGAAGGACAACCAAGCTCAATGAATCCAAAGCAATTGAAGGTATATTTGTTAGAGCTGCTGCCTGCTATTTTTAATGCACTAATACAACCAACAAAAAAAAAAAAAAAAAAAAAAAAAAAAAAAAAAAAAAATCTTTCTCCTTTTCTCTCTTCTTAGGTTCATCAACATTTCTCAATTTTTTTTTTTTGCTACTTTTTGAATTTATTTTAGAAGTTGAGCACCATGAAAATCGGGAGTTGAAAAGACACTTCGAAATCAATATCAAGAGCTCTCACCAACTGCTCCAATCCACCATGTTCGATTGTTCAAGGATCATGGGATTATGAAACAAGTTTACGTACTCCATATATTCTTCTTCATCCTAAAATCCTCATTCTGGAAGGTTCAAGGAATTGAATTGCCATCTCTCTTCAGGCTCCTGCATACTCTATATGCAAGTTTCTCACTTCTTCCATAAGTTTTTCCTTCATCCTTGGCATCCCTTGAATATCAAGCGTTTGGTTCACCCTATGAATACTTGCTCTTGCTTCCATTACAAATAGGGAATCCTGCTTTGACACCACAATTAATGTAGCAAAAATAACCATAACCCAATTAGGTGTAGATTTTATGAGAGAATAGTTGAAAGAGAGAACCATACATCATAATTCAACTAAAAGGCTGAATCTTCTGGTGATACAACCAGGAAAATAAACTACCAAAAAGCTGGTTCTTTTGTTGCTCAAAAATTATAAATCCAAAAATCTGCCTCTAAACAATGCATTATAGCCCCTTTATATAGCACAAAAATCTGGCCAGAATAATGTTCTTTTCTTATTATAAATCCTAATAGAATAAGGACTAAAGCATAAATCCTACTAGAATTATGAAATAGCACCTAGAACAACCATTCAGTTTTGGAGGGAGTAATTTTATTTTAAGGTTAAATATCATTTATGATTACTAGGCCATCATGAAATATTTTTGTTTTTTTTCTTAGGTTTTGAAGCTGGAGGCCCTAACACTCCCTCAAATATTGATCCTTGGTCTATAATTGGTGATGAGTCATCTCTAGTTGTATCTACCGATCGTTCTTCTTGCTTTGAGCGTAACAAGATCGCACTTCGAATGGAGGTCCTTTGTGACAACACAGGCAGCAATATTTGCCCAGCTGGTGGAGTTGGTATATACAACCCTGGATTTTGGGGCATGGTGAGTACTAGCAACTCACAATATTTTATGTGCAAATCTTTTTTTCTTAAGCTATGTGTATGAACTGCAAGCAAACATTTTTGTATGTATGTTGCTTTAAGGTCTATATTATAACAGTTCATGTTCTAGTCACAGTGATGGTAGGATTCTTAGATCTTCTCCTTTAAATTTTTCACTAACTAGATACATTTTCTTTCATGTTTTAAAATTTGTAGAAGATTTATTGCATTTTATGCTCTAATCATTTCATTTCCTCCAGAATATTGAAGAGGGGAAGACCTATAAAGTGGCTCTTTATGTTCGTTCACTGGGATCAATCAATATATCTGTGTCACTGAAGAGCTCGAATGGTTTGCAGACTTTGGCTACTGCCAATATTATGTGAGCACCATATATGAATATGCTATACAATTTCATTGATTGCCTTTGACGGTTTCTTGCAAACCTGAGTTGTGTTTTACATGTTTGTAGAGCCTCTGCTTCTGATGTTGTCAACTGGACAAAGGCAGAGGTTTCACTGGAAGCCCAAGGAACAAATCAAAATTCAAGACTTCAATTGACAGCAAACCAAAAAGGTGTGATATGGTTTGACCAAGTGTCGGCTATGCCCTTAGAGACATACAAGGTACTTTTCACTTTCTATCATCACAAATGAATTTACCATTCACAAGTTCTTTTTCTTGCTCTCCTCATTCTCATCTGAATTCTATACCTCACATTAGTTTATGTGAATATCTTCTATCCTGTGTCAATAGAGGGAACTAGTCAATATATATATTATTATATATTAGTTGATAATGAATATATAGTTGATAAATGAGATGAAAGGACATTTCATAGAGATGAAAAGATTATTTTGGTGCTAATTGAATGAAGTAGCAACTTCTGGAAACTGATTTTATAGCTAAACTCCCTGGCAGCCCCTAATAAAGAATTTATGCCTGAAAATCCAATCATTGAGTGGCCCTCATATTAAGTCTGGACAAAGACTTTTGAACGACAAAGATATAAAATTTCAGCTGTCAATCATGTCTGGAACACCACATACCCGAAACAACATAATGCAACAATTTTGTTTCTCAGAACAACCATAACCAAGTCCATGAAAGAACAGCCGTAACTAATTCCATAAATTTTCTTACCTTTAAATCAATTTACTCACATTCTAAATGCATATCCGAAGGTTCATATATGTATATGATCTTTCTAAATTAATTTAGAATAACAAAGTTCACATAAATTATATCATGTAGACACCAACTCTTCAATTTACATTCAAGAACCCTAATCTAATGTCATTCAATTAAATTTCTTTAAATTAAAATTTAAATTCTTTAACTTAATCTTCCAAGTTAGTTTAATTCTAACCTAGATGATACGGAACCCCAAGAATTGTGTCTCAACACCTGATAGCATCAGCAGAAAATAAAAAGAAAAGAAAGAAAATTTATTGAGAAAAGGGAAAGCTTTATTTGCTTAGTTCGTATGGAGAGGACCAGACTCCTCACAACTCTGATTAATACTTCAATAAGCAAATCAAATCCTAAGTAATTGGGAAAGTGGGGAAGTGGATAAGTGAACTGCAGCAGAAAAACCAGGCACGTGAAGCAGTTTCTATACTTTGAGAAATTGAGAAATTTCAGCAACTGATTAATTCCATCTTCTCCAACATTTTTAACTTCTTCCAAACGCTCTATACCCATGTGCAAAGCACGTGAGGAAATAAATTTATTTCTTGAATAAGTTTTCAGAGGTGGGTTTGTATCAGTACTCCCCTGTTGAAAACTCGACTTGTCCTCAAGGCAAAATTGAGGGAACTGGTCAACCAAGACGTCGTATTTCTCCCAACTTGCTTCTTCTGATGGGCGTTTTTCCCACTGAATGAGGAGCTCCAAAGTTGAAATGCCTGAACGATGCGACAAATGGTGGTCTAGGATTTTTGCAGGTGTTAATTCCAATTCCCAATCATCATTTACTGGTAGCGGCGCTGGTGTAGCCGGAATATGGTGGCCAAGTGCAAGTCGAAGCAATGAAATGCGAAAAACAGGATGAACCTTAGCATCAGATGGGAGCTCAAGCTCATACGCTACTGTACCAACTTGTTTGATGATTTTATAAGGTCCAAAGAACCTAGGAGATAGCTTGGCATAGCGTCGGCGAGCAAGGACTGCTGGCGGTAAGGTTGAAGTTTCAAAAGGACATAGTCACCTACTTCAAAGGATAACTCCCTGCGATGAGCATCTGCTTGTTTTTTCATACATGTCTGGGCTTTTTGCAAATTGTCTTTCAGGATTTGAAGCATGACATCATGTTCTAAGAGTTGTGCTTCCAAATCAGCGATGTAAGTTTCACCACATATAGAAGGAGTTAGCACAAGGGGTTCTCTTCCATAAAAAATTTGAAAAGGTGAGGTGCTAAATGAAGTGTTAAATCCCGTGTTGAAGGAATATTCTGCCCAAGAGAGGATTTTGCTCCATGAACGGGGTTGCTCCAAGGTGAAGCACCTCAGATAAGTTTCCAAACAACCATTCACCACCTTGGTCTGTCCGTCTGTTTGAGGGTGGTAAGCAGTACTAACCTGAAGCTTAGTCTGACTTAGGCCAAGGAGCTCATGCCAAAAAGTGCTAAGGAAGATGACATCTCGATCTAATATGATGGAACGTGGAAGGCCATGGAGGTGCACAATCTCCCAGCTAAAGATTTCAGCAACCGACTTGGCAGTGAATGGGTGAGCAAGAGGGATGAAATGAGAATACTTACTCAACCTATCAACTGCCACTAAAATTGTGTCAAAGCCACTAGATTTAGGAAGACCAGAAATAAAGTCCATTGAGATGTCCTCCCAAATGTTGGTTGGAATCGGTGGGGGCTTTAATAGACCTGCTGGTGCCACAGCTTGGTACTTCGCCTTCTGACAGATGAGACAATTCTACACATAAGCTTTGACATCTTGCTTGAGCTTTGGCCAATAAAAGGTAGAACTGAGATGTTTCAAGGTCTTCAAATACCCACTACGGCCTGCTGTTGCAGTGTCATGAGCTTCAGCTAAAAGTTTCTGTCGCAAAGCCATATCGTTTTGGATGACCAAATGAGTTTTGTAAAAAAGCTTAGAATCGGCCACATGAAAATCTGGATAGGAAGCTGAATTTGCTTGGAGGGCAGCAAGTAAATCTTGGGTATATGCATCGTCTTGTAATCCTTGGACCCAATTGGAGAAATCGAGTGGGATAGGAATTGCAAGTGCCAAAAAGTCAGCATAGTGAGGGCGACGCAAGAGTGCATCAACGCCAATATTCTCTTTACTTGCTTTATAGACAATAGAAAATTCGAGGTAAGAGTTTCATAAGCAATCTCTGCTGTTCATTGGTGGAAAGGCGTTGCTTCAAGAGATATTTTGAACTTCTATGATCTGTACAAACATAAAAGTGGCTGCCCATCAAGTAATGTTTCCACTTTTGTAAAGCTAGGTCCAAAGCCAAAAGTTCTTTGTCATACGCAGATTTGAGGTGGCTGGAATAAGATAACCCTTTGCTAAAATGAGCAATAGGGTGATCATCCTTTAGCAAAATCGCTCTCAGTCCCTCAGAGGAGGCGCCACACTCTACTGTAAAAGGGGAGGAAAAATCTGGAAGTCGAAGAACAAGAACATATGCGAGGCCCCTTTTGAGAGTCAAAAATGCAGAGTCGGCTACTGGGTTCCAGTGATACAAGTGATAGCAGCAGCAGAAATAAAAAGAAAAGAAAGAAGACTTATTGAGAAAAAGGAAAGCTTTATTTGCTTAGTCCTTATGGAGAGGACCAGACTCCTTACAACTCTGATTAATATTCCAATAATGATGAAATAAAGAACAAGAAAACGAAATATAAATACTAATAGGAAAGCAAATCAAATCCTAAGTAATTGGGAAACTGAGGAAGTGGATAAGTGAACTGCAGTAGAAAAACCAGGCATGTGAAGCAGTTTCTATACTTTGAGAAATTCCAGCAATTGATTAATTCCATCTTCTCCAACAGTTTTGACTTCTTCCAAACGCTCTAAACCCATGTGCAAAGCATGTGAGGAGTTAAATTTCCTTCTTGAATAAGTTTTCAGAGGCGGGTTTGTATCAACACCCCAAAAAATTTGGTATATAAACTCTAAATCCCAAATTAGGAACCCTAATTCCTAGATTAGGTAGCCTTTAGAGGGGTCTCTTTGGATGTGATACAACTCAATCGGAGGGCTTTACTTTCTTAGCTTCTGCTTTATGTTTCTTGTTATTTGTTGTTTTATGAGATTTAAGATCTCTTGTCCTCCATGGTGTGCACTTATTTCTTTTTCTCTTAATAATATTAAGTTTTTACTCACTTTTGAGTACTGTCATTTTTTTATGAAAAGGGTCATGGCTTCCGAAAGGAGCTTGTTGAAATGCTTGCAGATATAAAACCTCGGTTCATCAGATTTCCAGGTACAAAAGAATTTTATTTATGTGCATGAATTTTTGTCAGACTGGGTTTGATTATCGAAGTGTAAAATGATCCACATTGAAATATCTATATCTCCTTGTGTAGAGCTTTAGGTTTGACATTTGCAACTGAGATGCTGATGTCAACTTCGCTGTTTGTTTGTTGTCACATCATTTAAATGTGACTGTTCCTTGTTCTTCATTTTTATTTCTAGCTATATGTTACTTCCCATGTCAAGCTCTTGCTGCAATTAATGAGGTTTTGTTTTCATGCTTTATGTTTTCACTGTAATTTTTTTTATTGAAAAAAAAAGAGAAAGAAAAGCAGGAAAATTTAATCTTTGTTTATTTTTGTAGTATCTTTTATTAATAATCTTTGGGACTATCTTTTGCTTTCCCTCATTACTAATATATTTACCAACCTGAACTGCTAACTGAACGGTATTCCTGAAAGTGAATAACTCTGACTATGTCTTTATCCAACTTCTTGTTTCTTGTTTTTGTTATATTATCTGATTGGCCAGAGCTGTTATGTTGTTGATGTATGTTATTATATTTCGGGCGGCCAATAAATTCACCTCTAACTGTCTCTGAGAAGTCTTTGTGGCAACCCAAACTTTATTTAAACATATTGACCCCTATTGTTTTACTTTTGTAATCACTAAATGCTTGATATCGATGTCAGAAGGGCATGTTGCTACAGGTGAAATTCGAGTTGAGCCTTAAAAGGATCACAATATGGTACTTTAGATGATTGAAAAGATCCTAATGTTTTTAATTCCAATACGGTATTCTAGTTGATTAAAAACATCTCAGCATTTTTAGTCTCTATCTTCCTTCTTCTTCTTCTCGCTCTAATCCAGAAGTTTGCAAATTATGGATGCTTAAAGCAATTAAACATTGATGCACCTGCACATCATCTAAAGAATAATAAAAACCTCTTTTATCTGTTTCTCACTAATATCAATAAACAAATATTTTAAGTTGCAATTTGGAGTTTTTGGGGAGATCATGAGTAAATCGCGATGTGATTTTCTTTTGCTCACTCTTTGCACGGGTTTGATCAATATTACTAAATTTAACATCTATATTTTTGCAAATTGTCTTCCAAGAGATTCTTCTCTTCATATTGGTACTGGAGTTTTATACTCGTAGCATTCTTGAGACAAATTAAGGATTGATATTCATAATATTAAGATGTGATGGATGCAATAGAACTATAAATGAAAGTACATTCTGTTGATACACCTACTTTTAGCTAGAACTGTACTCTTTCTAGGCTTATTTTTTTTTATTCCCTTAGTGTTTTCTTTATATTGATACTGAAGTTTTGTGCTTGCAGTATTCTTGAGAAAAAGGATTGGTATTCATAAGTCATGATTTATGCAGTAAAATCATAAATGAAAGTACATTGTGTTGATATCATACTTTTATTTGGACCTATACTGTTTCTAGGCTTTTTTTTAAATTTTTTTTTTTAATTTTCTTATTATTGCATATGTATGAAGGTGTAGTCAAGTCAAAAATATTAATGCCATTAATAATATGTATGAAGGTGTAGTCACAAGTGTGAGAAAAACGGGAGGGGATGTAGAGGAGATTCCCATAACCGTAGGACTACATCAGGGATCTACCTTAAGCTCATACTTGTTTATCCTAGTCATGATGACTTAACTAGTAGTATACGAGATCATGTTCTATGATGCATATTATTTGGGGATGTTATTTGATGAAACTATTGAAGGAGTAAACAAAAAGTTGGAATTATGGAAAACCAGTCTTGAGAGCAAGGGTTTTAGGTTAAACAAAAGTAAGATAGAATACATGCACTATGCGTTTGTCCACAATAAGAAGAGGGGGAGAGATGAGGTGAGCTTGGATGGTATAATGGTGCCGAGTGCAATCATTTCAGATATCTAGGCTCTATATTCCAGAAATGTAGCATGAAAGATGAAGATATAACTGATAGAATTAAAATAGGATGGATGAAATGGATGCATGCTAGACATTTTATGTCATAGCAATATATCCAACAGAGTCAAGGCAAGTTCTATAAAATGGTGAGACTTGTGATGTGATATAGAAGTGAAAGTTGGTCCTGAGATGCCCAACATATTCACAAAATGAATGTTGCAGAAATGCAGATGTTAAGATGGATATATGGTCACACATGATTAGACCAGATTAGAAATGGCTACAAAGGTGTAAGTAGCACAAGTTGAGAATAAAATGACAGAAAGACATGTGAGATGGTTTGGTCATGTCCTATGTATACCCCTCAAGTACTCTGTTCGTCTGTGCAATACAATGATGATGGTGAGTGCTAAAAAGGGAAAAGGTAGACGTAGAACCACATGTAGGAGAGTTTTCTTGAAAGACCTACTGATGTTTGACATTGGTATGGACCTAGTTATGATAGAGTGGAATGGAAACAAATAATTCAGATGGCTAATCCAACTAATTTGGCATTAAGGCTTGGCTTTGTTGCTGTTGAGTGTTGTGCATGTAATGAGAAAATTTAAGTATCAGAATCATTACTGAAAATTGAATATAATCTCATGATTTCTCATTATTTTATAGTCTCTTGGGACTAGATAGATTGGGCAGTCATATACACTAGTTCTTCTTGTATGTAGCCGCATCTCTGGTACAGATCTTGATTGTATAATCCTGTGCCTCAAATTTTCACACCCGCTACATTTTTTACTACTTTATTCTTCTGCTTCTTTGCAGTCAGCCTTTTTATTTTTCATTTTTTTATTTTTTTTCGTCTCTTAAGAGGTTAAGGTTTAGAGCTGTCTAATGCAGTAACTTTTCTATCACATGTTGTTAGGTGGCTGTTTTGTTGAAGGTGAATGGTTAAGAAATGCATTTCGCTGGAAGGAAACAATTGGACCATGGGAGGAGAGACCTGGGCATTTTGGTGATGTTTGGAAATATTGGACTGATGATGGACTTGGTCATTTTGAGTTGCTTCAAGTAGGTGCCTTATTTTTCCACTGTGCTAAATGAGATGGATATTTTAAAAATTGAATTATTTGCATTCTATGTCAATTGTTTGTGCAGCTAGCAGAAGACCTTGGTGCATTGCCGATATGGGTGTTCAATAATGGTACTTTCTGCATGCTTGGCCTCCTTTTGTTTCAAAGAAAATAACTTGTCCGAGAAAATTTTAAGGAAATGTTTTCTAGGAAAAAGAAAACTTATATTCTATTGTTTGGTTATTTTACTGAAATTCAGCTGGAAATTATTTTCTGGTGTTTGGAGTATATTGGAAAATATTATTTTCCATGAATTTAAATGGCTAATAAATATTTTATATTGTATATTTATGTTAAGTATAAAGAAAAATATGTATAAAATGGTAATCTATGGCTGTCACCAGTGGCTTGTGATGGCTGGGGATGACTAAGGATGATCAATGGAGCAATAAATGTGTGTTAATGTCTTTCCTTAGAGATTCCTCTTTTTCTTTTCTTTTCTTTTTTTTTTTTTTTCTTTATGAATCTTTTGATATTCATAAAGAGAAACATTTGTTGATTTATCTTAAGTTTTTCTTTGACCAGAAAAACATTTGTTGCCGTCCAATTTTCCTAATTACTCCAAATGCCAGAAAATGCAAAATATTTTTTTCCAGTATAATCTTTCCAAAAAACGAAAGGTGTCTTGGTTTTAAATATTTTTTTCTTGTTCTTACTCTGGTTGATTTATTCTTTATCATTCCTTATGATTTATTTTGGCAGGGATCAGCCATAACGATGAAGTTGATACGTCCAGCATTTTACCTTTTGTACAAGTATGTCAACAAGTTCAATAAGTTCTGTTTGCATCAATCCTAGGCCAAAAGACTATTTTCTAATTTCAAGCAGACTTGATATATACTAATGTCTGCATCATCAGTCTAATCTCACAATTGAAGTAGATGTATTAATGTCCTGCTTAAACTTCATCTGTTCCAGAGTATAAAATCAAAAATAAAATTTTATGGGAGATTTGTAGTTCATTGGTGATATATAGAGCCCCAGACTGATGGATATGAATAGCTTTGCAACTATTTCTTGGGGTATGGTAGGTGTCACTGCTGTGGTATGATCTGATTTACCAGATCAAATCTCTTTTTATTCTGAGGTTTAAGATGGTGCTATTTCAGGTTTTAGTAAAATCTTAAACTGCGTCCTTGAAGATGATTTTAATCTGAGTAGAGGACAAAAAGGGAAATAAAAACACTTAAGATCTTTCGTTAGCCCTGATTCATTAATTTAGCTCTTGATGGAGGATTGCAGGAAGCTCTTGATGGTATTGAGTTTGCTAGAGGCGATTCTGGTTCTAAGTGGGGTTCTGTTCGAGCTGCAATGGGACATCCAGAACCTTTTGACTTGAGATATGTTGCTGTTGGAAATGAGGATTGTGGAAAGAAAAATTACCGAGGTTTGCATACCATTTTAGATCCATGGTTTATGTCTGTTTTTATATGCTGAAACCATATACAAATATATATGCATAGTTCTTTTTTCTCTTCTCTCTTTACTTTTCCATTTTTCTTTCTCTCTTCCCCCATCAGATCAAAGAATTAGGTTTGTGTGTATATCAAGTAGTTCTATACTTCAAATTCAAGCTAGTGGTGTTCATATTTAATCTATTAATAAGATTACAAAGATGATTTTTCAATGAGATATCTAGTTTCAAGACTATATCTATATTTCGCGTTTTTATACAGGACAAATGTCTGCAAATATATTTCATGTATTTTATATTGATGATCAGGAAATTATCTGAAGTTTTACGATGCTATAAAACGTGTCTATCCTGACATCAAAATAATCTCAAACTGTGATGGATCTTCTCGTTCTTTGGATCACCCTGCTGATTACTACGACTTTCATGTAACCATCTTGCTACTGAATTTGTAATTTCTCATACATGCTTTAAAGTTTCTTTTTATAGATGTTCGTTTTGTTTTACAATGTGTATACCGTCATAGGTCAGAGAACATAACCTCAGCCTTTTGTCTGTCCTCTATTAACTAGGTCTATACATCTGCCAACAATTTGTTTTCTATGGCACATCAATTTGATCGAACATCACGCAATGGTCCCAAGGTAGGTTTGATATGCTTTTCAAATTTGACAACAATAAATCATTGCAATGATTGGTCTTTTTGTTTGTTAATTTCAGGCATTTGTTAGTGAGTATGCTGTGACTGGAAGAGATGCTGGCACAGGAAGTCTTTTAGCTGCACTTGCTGAAGCTGCATTCCTCATTGGGCTGGAGAAAAACAGGTTTGCTGTAGTTATTGAAGAACTTACTAGTTTATGAATGTCTACAAATATGATCCCAATGTTTTTTTTTTTTTCTATTTCTCGGCTTTCTCATTGTTTTTCCAGTCAGTTTTCTCAAATTGTTCTTCTTTTCTGTTTATCACAAATTCTATTGGTGGTAACAATTCCTACGATAGGAATCATGACATAGAACACTGAGCTGGTGCTGAATTGGAAAATGCTAACATGCATGGGCAAACTAAGTAGGATTTCAGATATTAACTGAGGCCCACTTGAAGCTCTCCAATGCTTTCATTCCTCTTTTCTGTATCTCGCCCAATCTACGAAGTCATAAATACCAGCTCAGGATAGATACATGACTCTTCCATGATTTCTCATCTTAGATATATTTGCTACCAATTATAAAGTATGGGACAAAATATGTAAATTGAAAGAATTAGTTAAGATTGAAAATTTACGCCAAAGGCAGGATTTATGGGATCTGTCATCTGTAACTCTTTTCTTTCTTTCCTTTTTTTTTTTTTCTGAGAGAGAGGCTGGATTGACAAATTCATAAGTAATATTCAGGTCATAAAAACTTCCTATTACTCCACATTTGATTCCTATTCAAGAGGTCTTTTGTGCTCCTTCATTGATCACAAGGCAATATTCTGAGGTCTCTTTTCTCCATTGCAGTGATGTTGTTGAGATGGCAAGCTATGCACCACTTTTTGTGCATGTCAATGACAGACGGTACGTGTCTTATTCTCTTGAAATTTAATTATGTGAAATGAAGGAATATATCTTTCTATTTTCTGGTATGCTGATATTGAAAAATTGGTGTTGAAGGTGGAACCCAGATGCCATTGTGTTCAACTCTGCACAGCAATATGGAACTCCTAGCTATTGGGTGCAGCGTTTCTTTATGGATTCAAGTGGAGCAACACTTCTCAATGCTACCCTTCAAACAAATTCATCTGCACTCATTGCTTCTGCAATTATTTGGCAGAACTCAGTGGATAATGAAAATTACCTTAAGATAAAGGTTTTGCAATTTACCTCTTTTTTACTTAACATATGTTCTAATACTCAACAGTGCTTACAAATATCATGTTCTACACAGCAAACTTCTAGTTCTATCGTTAACTTTATTCTTTTTCGTCTCAAAATAATGACATCATTCCAATTTAGCAGTATTAAAATGCCAACTAAGTTTGCTCTTTATGTCTTCTCAATGTGAATAACTGCCATTGTTTGACGACATGCATTTGTTTCTTGCCAATGGTACAGACTTTTATGAGTTCTCAATATTAAGCCCTTCCCACTCTATAACTACAGTACCCAGATGCCTCGCTGGATCGTTGCTTCCATATTTGTCAATCTTGTAAGAGTATCATTGATTTTATTTTGGTGTAAAGTTCTCATTGTGAGGTGAATGTATTTTCAGATTGTGAACTTTGGGAGCAGTGCAGTGAGTCTCAGAATTTCTGTTGACGGATTGGGGCTCAATTCCATACAACAGTCTGGATCAACAATGACTGTACTGACTTCTGCTAATCCAATGGATGAGAATTCCTTCAAGGAGCCAAAGAAGGTATCTAATGGTTATTCTCTTTGTTTATCTGTTGCTATGAGAGTGTTTTCTGCTCATAGTAAAGCTCCCTTGGATCTTTTTAGCCTCTGCAATGATAGCCTTGTCTGACCCTTCCTACTTTTATCTTCAATTAGCTTTGGTAAAATGAGACTATCAAATTCCTTGGTCTGACCCTTCCTACTTTTGTCTTCAATTAGCTTTGGTAAAATGAGACTATCATATTCCTCCCAGAATAAAGTAAAAAAAAAAAGAAGAGGGAAAATAAAGTAACAAGATGAGACTATCAAACTTAGAAAACGAAAGATGCATGAATGTCTTGTCATGGGCTGTATAGGCGGAAATGGCAGTTTGACCAATTCTCCTGGGTTTTCATGAGATCAGTTGCAATTTCTACAAATTTCTGGGGGGCATATAAGTTACTGCTAGATAAATCATTCATTTATTTTGTCGCCGTACCATTATTCACTAGCAGTTACTTACCCATGTATTTTTCTCCTTGGGAATGCTTTAGTGATAATGAAAATGGAACATCAGATACATGGGACAAGATTGATATACTCCTGAGGATGAAATGTCTGCTTGAAATGCGAAAGCACTTCAGCAACGTATAAAAAATAGTTGGATGATAGAGAGATGAGAATTAGTTGGGAAAAGTAGCCTTACATTGATTCTTAGCCAATGATTAATCTTAGGTACATAGTGGGGAGTAATTTATCCATCCATGTTATGTGGCTAGCTGGTTTTGCATTTCCGTTTTATCGTATTATGGTTCTGCTGCAATATATTATTATGTTAAATCTTGAGCATCTGAGACTGGTAAGTTCTCAAAACTAAATGCAATTGCTATTATATTCCTCATGGATTAGAGTAGAAGTATTAGATAGTGTTATTAGGGGGACATGTAGAGAGTGAATTTCTTCCTTAACTCTCAATGTTTCTGCTCTAAACATTGCACAGGTGGTGCCTATCCAGAGCCGGTTCGACAATGCTGGAAAGGAGATGAATGTTGCACTTTCGCCATTGTCATTAACTTCATTTGACCTGTTAACAGAATCAAACAATATCAGGATAACTGGAACTGATTCTTTCTCCATATCTTCTATTTAAAGACAAATATTTGAAGTGTTATCATATGAAAAAGAAAAGTTAAAATAAGTTAAAATATGTAGGCCCTTTAGTTGGCCTACATAAGAATGTAAATATAATATGTGTACTCTGCTGCTTTGCATTCTCAGACATCTATACACTTGCGTTCTCTTTACTATGATTTTCTATCCCTTTTATGTTTTAGAAAGCATCTTATGATCTTTTCAAAAAAAAAAAAAGAAAGCATCTTATGATCTACCAACTTCGGGCTTTGAAAGAGCAGCAAAGTGAGTTTCATTTCAAATTAATCATAAAGGAAAATAGTCATTTAATGAACATTTTGTCATAGGATTAGATTATAAAGGAGCTCTTCTTGCTTGAGATCTGAAATCTTGAAGAAAAATCTAAAGGAAAGTTCTGATTTTATAAGCCGACAATATTAAGAAAAAAACTACCTTTTATAAAATATTAATAATAAGTATTACAAAGTATTAGCAATCGAAGTTATGATTTTGTAAATCATAATATTTACAAAAAAAAAAAAAAAAAAAAAAAAAACCTATTTATAAAATAATTAATAATAAGTTTACAAAGTATTTAGCAAATCGAAGTATGCATTTTGGTAAATACATAAATATTTTACAAAAAAAAATAAAAAAAAAAAAAAAATCACTTTACAAGAATATAGAAGTGTTTAAATATTAGCCAATCGGGAAGTATTATTTGTAATATGCAGGCCAACTTTATTCAAAATAACCGTTTTTTACAAAGTTAATAAATTATTACCATAAATATTAGTTGTGTAAAAGAAACAAAACAACCACTTTTAATAAATTTATTTTAGATTTATTTACCAAAATATTAAGAAATAAATATATTATTTTATGTTAACGTCAAGTGACTCCAAATTCTAAGTTATTGTTAGAAAATTCCCCATTATAAATGTACATTGACGTTTGATTTGTTTGATCTGGAGTAATTTTGCGATGATTACTTTTTTGCTAATTTACTCTTGAAGAATGCTTTGAATTTTCAACACTCGGCGACTGGATAGGGTCACTTACTTTACGATCTTCCATTTTAATTTCTCTTATAACTTGTCTCATCTACCATATTTATAACAAAAAACTTATCGGACGATTGACATGGTTAGCGGGTCAATAGAAAATTTAATTTCTCTTACACTTAAACTTTTCTCTACTCCTCATCCAAAAAATTAATTTTTCTAACCTATTTCATTACCTTATGCTTCGTTCCTTCTTTAACCCTATATCAACACCAGTTTCTTATTTACCAAAAGAAAAAAACTTTCTCTTTTCTATCGTACAGAGCTACTCGATCAAACACCACCGATCACTTAAAAAAGGTGTTTTTAGAACCTCACTTCATTAATGTGCAAGGTCAATTCAATGCATCCATGACTAGATTAACAATTGAATAATCATAAGGAATCACAGTCATCGTCTCCAAATAAAGCAGATAGAGATCATATACAAAAACAAAATATTTCATCAAATCTGGCTTTTTTTTTTTTTTTCAGCTCCACAAGTAACGGAAGTTCTCCATTCTGTTTCCACTATCTGGAATCGTTTTTGCATATTTGGGAAATCAATCTTTGCAATAATTCTGTTCTTACTTGGATTCTCAGTTTAGAGAAATTCAAAGTAAAATCAATTTTGACTTTGGATATTTAGTCCAAATTGATTTACAATCCAAACTAACTGATCGCGTTTGGAGACTAAAGTTTTCAGTTTAAAACAAATAAAATTTATTTCCCAATATTTATTATCACGAATTCTTATCATTGGTATTAGAGCACAGGTAACTTAAGGCACCTTAATACACCTTTGATACTATTTTTTACTTATTTTAAGCAACAAAAAAAAAAAGGATTTATTTAAAGCAATCCACAATAATTTTAAATATTTTACCTTTGCAAAATTCCAATTAAAAATATAATCATCAAAAATTTTACTTACGGCCAGCTCAAATAATTCATCATTCAACATAGCTCAAAAATCTGGGCAACATTCAATTATTACAATTATATCAGTTATCCTTCATGGCGCTTGCCAGTCAATACCAAACCATGAGATTTTTATTTCACAAAAAGTTTGCTATTTATTTCAGAGTTTAACACACTTTTACAGGAGTGTATTACATATACTATAGTCCTAGTATAATTGCGGATATCTTACGTAATATTAAATGTTAGTAAATAATAAAATGAGAGAGCCTTCTTTAATCAACTAACTTGCGTACTAGTTAGCTTCTGTAGAGGAAGAGAAACATAGCTTTCGGCACATGTAGAACTGTTGATCTGGCATGCCTAAAAAATTTAAGTTGAAAGCGGGAGTGAGTGCTTTGGGCTCAATGAATTAGTAACTATATTAAAATATGTCTAAGTAGACAGACATAGTTACATTCCTAGGTGCACATTGTGGCTTTCCTACATCATGCCAATTATTAGTGTAGCACTAATATGTGAATATAATTTTAATACACTACTATATAGGAAATGACAAATCTACCAGTATATCATCTTTTTGTTAGCCGAGCATTCTACTTATAATTATGGCGTGCTACTGTCCCTTGCATGCACTTACAGCCAGGATCTAAGACGGTGATTCTTTACTTGATCCCAAACCACCTCGCACAACACAACAACTATCCGCAAGCACTACAATATCAATTACGATTAATTGCGATCGGAATTTTTGACATTTTTTTCTTCTTACAGTACCTCGAGTAACATGAGCATGCAAAGAGTTCTTCAAAGATTCACTATTTCTTTAATCAATCAATGTATTCGTGCTTTTAAATGATTCAATTCAAAATTAGAAAAAAATGCAGCATGATTTATATCTTACAGAGGTTATTGCATTTTACAACATTAAAGTTGCTATGTAAAATTAAATAGGAATTACTAATGTATGAATTTGACTATATATCATTTTATTACATCATAGTGATTTTTGAGAGGAAGACTTATCCTTAATCTGATTTCGGAGATGTTTTCGTCGACTTGCCCAACCGAGCGACTGCGAAAAAAACGTCCATTTGTAAATTTTCGGTGGGAAAGAGTGATTTTGAAAAAGTTGGTGACAAACATTTTTTGGATACGATGGCCGATAAAATCGGTCTTATTAATAATTTGAATCGCACCATTGTTTCGGCAATGAGGACCGTTTTCCAATTTTATAAACAGTGACTCCATTTCAACATCACAAATTTTTATTCAAGGCAAATTTATTTAAAAGATGGCTCAAGCGAACCAATTACGGTTTCTGGGTTAAGGGATTGGGTCGCCAGCCGGTTTGGAAGCTGACGCTCGGAACCGGCCTCTTTTAACCTTTCGATTTCTAATTTAATTTTAGTTAAAAAACCAATTATTTTATTATTTAAAACCCAACCGAATGATCGAACGAGTTTCTTATGGTGGAAAATTAAGTAATCGTCCTAAATAATTTAATCATCGCATCATAATCATCCAAAACCATTCAAACCAAAGCAGTTAAAATAAATAAATTAACAGGGGGGACTCGGGGGGCCTTTTTTCTTTTGGGGGGCCCTTTATGCGTTAAAGGCAGAGCCATAAACAAACCTAAAATACATTCTTACCCATATAAAAATTAACCCAAAAAACAAACCCAAAAATCAACATAATTATATTTTGTGTTATAAAAATTTTAACTTAAACTCGCATCTGCTCACATTGGTTGTATCAGATTTATTAGAAATTAAATTTATTTTGTACAAAATCGTTATTGAAAGACAAAAAAAAATTTGCTTTCTAGAACCATAGAAACAGGTGTTGTCACGCAGCTGTTCTATAAGAACAGTTTGATGTGGACGGAATCCAATAGCTTGCGTGACGCAGCTGTTCTCTGGTCCGTGCTACTTTTTCAAACAAACTTATTTAATCATCCTTTTATTTAAACCGCTTTAAATAAGATCTAAAAAAACAAACCAATAATGAACAGATACCGCTTTAACTAAGATTAAAGCACTAAAACGATAACAAAACAAACCAACAATAAAACAATAAATAAAAAATACAGGAAAGGTTTAGGGAATTTACCGTAACCCTCAGACTGAGGATTGTGTAACAGCTTTGAACGCTTTAAAGAATGAAGCGTTAATGGGTTCAGAAGCTTTGTCCACAAGGATTTACGATTCCTCTTTTACTCTCTTTACTTTTATATTACCTTTTTTATGATTTCGTTTTTTAAACCTAATTGATGTTCTTGATAATGGTGTTTTTCTTCAAGGGACTCAAAGGAGTCTTAGAGAGAAACTTCAGCCAAAGTGTGCTGGTTTCTTGGACGTCCTCAAAACCAGTTCCCAAATATAGAGTAATTGATGTATTATAGAAGTGGGCAACAGAGCGATAGCTGTCGTCACGCAACTGACGGACTGCGTGACGAGGACCCATAGCTGCGTGACGCAGACGTCACTTCGTGGACCGCTTTGCCACGTTACTCAGACAGAATGAAAACCAATATATGTCGACATTCCTCGGGTGACGATTATCTAGAATTGGAGTTTGCGTTGACGCAGCTGACAGTGCCGTCACGCACCTGATAGCACTGCGTGGACGCAACTCTAATGCGAATCAGACCATTTACATTGGTTTATTTAATTACCTTTGGAAATCAAAAGACTTCTAGATTAGCAAGTAACCCTCATTCCGTTCCTCGTATTCCTATTGGATTAGGTGGGCGGATAGACACGCGTCAACAGTTTGCCCCTCCCACTTATCATTAATTGTTGTAAGACGATTAATGTTAATGGTGGCCATTGACGGCCGCCTTCAATCTTGGGGGTTGAATGAAATAGTTGCCTATGATTCATCTAAGTCATGTCCAAAGCTAGGTCTGATCGGGCTTTGTTGGCTTCCAGTCGGATCCGGTAACGATCTTTCAAAACTCGGTTTGATTTGTTTTGAGATACCTTCGAGGCTCGGTCTGAATTGGTTCAAAGCGATTTTGGTGATTTCAAAGCTCAGACTTATAAATCGGCTTTGTTGTTACACTCCTCAGCTCAATGTAAATCTGCTTTAGAGGTTGATGATGTACCCAAAGCTTCGGGCTGCATCAGCTTTGTGTTTCACCTCCTTCAGCTTGGTGCTTAATCGGCTTTAGAGGGTTTGATGATGTCCAAAGTCTCGGTTGTTAGCTT